AAAAAAAAAAAAAAAAAGAGAAAATATATATATATATATATATATATATATATATATATATATATATATATCATATCAATTCGTTAATCATAATATATTACCAGACTGACAGCCCTAAATGGAATAGAAAACAAGAGAACAGGTTCATACATCATTGATGAGGCTCTACATGTAGGTTAGTGTGTTTACTAGAATTCTGGGGAAGGAGATCAACCTGGACCATCTACACCTCAGCCTGTCCCATAACGCCACAGGATACGGCTGATTAAAAGGATCCCAAGAGTCAGAACCAAACACTCTCAGTCTCTTCTATGCAATGATACAGATGAAAAACTAATATGTGACCCTGGACCACAAAACCAGTCTTAAGTCGCTGGGGTATATTTGTAGCAATGGCCAAAAATATATTGTATGGGTCAAAATTATTGATTTTTATTTTATGCCAAAAATCATTAGGACATTAAGTAAAGATCATGTTCCATAAAGATATTTTGTATATTTCCTACTGTAAATATATAAAAACTTAATTTTTGATTAGCAATATGCATTGCTAAGAACTTAATTTGGACAACTTGGATTTTGTCAATATTTTGCTTTTTTTGCACCCTCAGATTCCAGATTTCAAATAGTTGCATCTCGGCCAAATATTGTTCTATCCTAACAAACCATACATCAATGGAAAGCTTAATTTATTCAGAGATGTGCTTTAAGCTATAGTTACTGCATGCATGGCTGCCCTGACCTGCTTTTATAAGCACACCGGTCACAGATGAATGCTCAAGCTCCTCTCATTCACGAAGATATATCCTAAGCTCAGGACCAGACTCCCCACAAGACTTCTTCAGTTTAACCAATCAGACTAATGCGCAGTAAGAAACACCTTCACTGTTCTCTATAAATCATTCATCTCAATCTCACTCCAGAATCCTGAGAATGACACAGTGTGGGTGAACAGAAGCATATCTGGCGATACATGCACAAAAACACTCCTTAAAGCATTCTTAAAAATTAAAGAAACTGAAAATAACTTTCAAGGACACAGTGTGATACACAATAAACCTCCACAAACTCAACAAGTACATAAAGAGCACCATTCATCATGATTTCCCAAAGCACCATATTATGAAAACTTTTAGGATATTAAGCCTATTTTTTAATTTATTTTTTCCTAAATACACTGTTCTTGTCTACTGTACACACCTCCATTCACCCATAAACACACACCACACCACCAAGTTGCACCAATGCACCCTATTTCCCTAAATGGAGATTCTGTATGGTAGAAACATCCATATATTGCACATCTAACCTGACTAATTCACAGATAGTTCACATTTCACCCTCTATTAACTGAAACGGCAAAGCCTGGACGCATTTAAAATTAATGGCAGTTTTCTAGTTAAACCGTTTGCTTCGAACCATTTTAAATTATAAGGCTTACCTGCTTGAACAGATTTCACACAAGCACCAGTTGAGTCCCAGTGAGCCCTGAATCCAAAGTCTCTCCCACTGTTAGGCTTTTGATTCAAGCAGACTCGCATTTCACTTTGACCCACCTGAGAGAGAGAGAGAGAGAGAGAGAGAGAGAGAGAGACAGAGACAGAGACAGAGAGAGAGAGATAGAGAGAGAATGTGACACCTGAGGATCCCATGACACCATCTTCAAGAAATCTGCTCCAGTTAGTACAACACAAGCAAAAAATAAATAAATAAAAAATAAATATATAAAATATAATATATATATATATATATATATATATATATTTTTTTTTAAATTTAGGTAGGTTAAGGATATCTTGGATGTCACGATTTTATTTAATTGATTCAGATTGTCAAGCAACCTACCTTGATGTCCCTGATTTTGGCGACAACAGGAGATGTTGTTTGCATATTAGAGGCAGCCATTGTCACTTTAGTGACAAAACAGTTAATGGGAGGTGCTGATGACCTTCCATCTCTTGTCTCTTCTTCTTCCTTCTTAGGGTTGATTGGATGAGTACTTGAACGAGAGTGGACCGTGTGAACAGAGGCTATGCCCTTTCCTTGACCGCTGAGGAAAGAGGGGATGATTGAAATATCTCCGTTTCCACTGATCAGGCTTTTATGAGAGTCATCCATCTGTAGAAACCAAAAGATAAAAGCAAATACATAAAAGTGGTTACTTCCTTTTGCAATCACTTCAGCAATGGCAGTGCCAAATTCTACTTGATATTAAGACTCAGACTGCTGGTTTAGACATAGGTTTTCCCCTTGTGAAAAGAAGAGCATTATAAAGAAATTACCAATTTAGAATACCAATTTAGGAATGTGTATTAAAAAACACTGAGAAAATGGATTATGCCTCAATGGAATTTGACCACATTATTTTAATTTATTATTTATTTTATTTTTTCCATTTCATTTTATTTTATCCCTTTCCTGGTCTTCATATATGCACTTGCTAAAGCAAAAACACAAATAACCTGCTCCACCTCTGAAACTACCTTCAGGTGTCATTTCGTTTGGATTTTAATCTTCAATTCAAATTGATAAAGGCACATTCTTATTAAAAAAACAACAACAACATGCGATACATTTACTGACAGAGAATACATAATTGCTTTTGTTTGAGACAAAGTGACCAAACACCAAGTGTGACCATGCATGATTGAGAAGCTCGTCATGGAAAAGAGCACACACACACACAACAAAGTCACAGCTTGGGTTTCATTAAGCACCCGGAGTGCAGTAGTAGTGGCTTTATCCATTATTCATAAGCCAGCCGCTAGATGATCAGATGATGAGGAGTAACACTAAACTTCACACACAGAACACAACACCAACTATCACTCTCTTCCTCATCCCTCACTCCTTTATCAAGTGTGTTTAAGAACTATTTATAAACAAACAATTAGTGTAGGTCAGCACTCAGGTCTGAAAGAATACTGTAAGAGCCACTGAAAATAAATGTTGTTGGGCAATATGTTTAAAATTGACATCATATATTCAATAATTTGAAACCGTTTGAACCAGTACGTTTCAGTCAAAATAAGTCAAATAGCTATAATGGCTGTTTGGGTGACAATGTCTTCTAATTGAAAATAAAACCACCCATTTAAGCCATTTCCAAGCAAATATATAAACATTAAGAAAAAAAAATGCATACTTTCCAGGTATCACTGCGCGCTTTCATTTTAGTTCTCTGGTCTAGAGGCATGCTGTCTCAACAATAACCAATCAGACCTCAAGGTAACATGAAAAATGGCGGCATAACTTTTTAAAACGTGTGATTGATTTCATGATTGATCATTGCTGTCACTTTCAAGTACTCAGGTACTTTTGCCCATTCTTTTATAAACTGAGCCTTTATATAAGTCCAAGGTCAAACCTTTTAAGCAGGGGTCACCAAACTCAGTCCTGGAGGGCCGGTGTCCTGCAGAGTTTAGCTCTAACCCTAAATCAAACGCACCTGAAGCAGCTAATCAATGTCTAGGTATACTTGAAACTTCCAGTACATGTGCGTTGAGGCTAGCTGAAGTTGGAGCTAAATTCTGCAGGACACCGGCCCTCCAGGACCGAGTTTGGTGATCCCTGCTTTTAGGCATGGAATAAGCAGTTTTATTATAAGATCGTGGAGTGGAATATTCAGAGTACAAATAAAAAAAAAACTACACTCTATAAAGACAGAAACAAAAGAGAACATCACAGAGAAAGTATTGTTGTTGCTGCATTATGAATCAGACAATGAGATCCTAAATACCATGTGAAATAGACCGATATAGCAAAAATACCATTAATCAGAATCAAAAGCCTCCACTGTGAGATTTTTTTTTTCCTGGATGAAAGAACATGATCTATATTGTGTAAGACTAATAATGGCCACTTACGGAATATGCTCTGGGCAGTGAGGACACTTTGGAGGGTTTGGTTCCAAATGGACGTGGTGTGACACCCGTGGAGAGGCGTGAGGAACCTTCTGACCTTCTGAAACCTCTGGGTAGAGTGGCAGATATGCGTGCTCCCCCTGCATAAAAGCTCTCCAGGAGGATCGCGCGGTGGCTGAAGTCTGGACCCTGCTGCTCATAGTGTTCTGGATCCCCAGTAGCCAGGCTGGTCAGTGAACTCGGTTCAGAGACAACAGCTGCTGGAGGGGTGAAGAATTCACCAGCTGAGTCAGTCGTCTCTGCACCAGTGCCTTTGGTCAGAGCAGGAGATGTCCCGTTTGTGAGGGGTGAAGCCAAGGCGGTGGACCACCCAGTACTGCTGACACTGGAGCCCGCATCACTCATGGGTCCAGGCATGTTGGAGCTGGAAGAGAGTGAAATGGAAACTGGACTGAATGCCTGATCTGATCCCAGGGCAGGACTCTACTAGAAAGCACATGGTTATTAGTGGTCACTTGTGCACTAAAGGGTGGGAAGAGAAGTAGGGGGTGGAGAGGGCTTAGAGGACAGGTGTAACTATCAAATGTCTCTATTATCCACAAGTGAACACCAAGTGGTAACACTTTAGAGTAACATTCAATTTGTTATCATCAGTTAATGCATTAGGTATTATGAACTAAATCTTTTAGAGTATTTATTAATCTTAGGTGGATGTTGATTTATAAATATAGCCTACTTTTCTTCATTGTTAAAAGGTGCATTCAGTAGTATGGTACACATTAAGAAATAAACAGTGTTTTTGTGAAGAGTCATATGCATGCTGTATTAATAGTTTTCTGTAAAAAGTGTCTTAATTATATAGATATTCTAGAACTGTAGTGTAGTTCCTTGTTGTGAAAAGCGAAAATTAGACAACGGAACATACTTATTGTTGTTTACCAACTGAGATAAAGGTAGAATCCATCCCTGTATGGAAAAGGTCTGACACAAGAAGAAAGAAACATCAATAAAGTTAAAAAGTGGAAAGATTTGATTGAGAAAAAGTAGTGCTTAAGGTATTTTTTGTTTTCATTTTTTGGACTGGAAAAGTAATTAATTATTGCATAGACTGCGCTCTAAAACCCACTAGTATCAGTGACATTCCAAAAAACGAGCATGCTGATCCATGTCAGTAGATGACAATGCAGCATCTAACACCACTGTGGTATTGGTACTTAAAGTAGACAGAGAACAGCAATGCTTGACAGATTTTTCCAGATTTCTGTGTTTTCACTATTATACTGTAGGGGGCGCTATTACACATCTTCTGAAAGTGTACTAAACCTCTGGATCAAAACACAGTGAAGAAGCAGCAGAAAAATCTAATGCGTACGTAAGCAGGTGATCATCAGACATTAAACAGCATATTATTCAAAACTGCCTTTAAAGTTATCGAATAAAATGTCGACCCAGGAAGTGGTACAGGAATGTGCAAGTTTAAGCCCCGTTCACACTAGCAGCGACTTTTGTCGCTGCACGTAGTGGGCGTTCTCAATACTGGTTGCCTTGACAGCAAATCAGGTTTCTTGCCGCTAAGTACAAACATTTTGGCAAAAGACTAAATATAATCTAAATCTAAATTAAATCCGTACATACAAACAAAAATGAATGAGAAACAGAGCCTACTTTCTTCCATTGCTTATGTTTCTCTACGGCGTTGAGAGGGGAACGATCACATGAGCTCTACCGTCTTCTTTCCTATTGGCTGTCGCTCCCGAAAGTCGCTCTTCATTTGCATAAAGTTGAAGGATTCTGAACTTTGTCGCGTCGCTGGACACGCCCCATCCGGTCGCCAACGGCCGCTGTCGCTCGTGTCACCGGAAATCGCCAGCTCTCCATTGAAATGAATGGGATTGTGTCGCTCAGCTGTTGCGTGTCGCTTGTAGTGTGAACGGGGCATTAGGGGGTGGTGATGGAATCAATCTACTCCATCTACTGTATGTTACGAACAAAGTTCTTAATACCATCCATCTTTGATAAAAACAAGATTTTCTCGGCTTTTTGTTCAAAATGTTGCTTTTTTTTTATTTAACTTACCCACATTCAAATGTTGATTTTTTTTTTGTTGTTGTTGTATTTATTTTTTTAAGCAGAGGCTCTGTTCCTTCTTTTGACATATTGCATATTCAAATATTCATACAACAAAGTATCCTGGGGGCCATGAAATATTTTAGAAGATAAAAATTGCAGGTGGCGACTGGCAACTTTTTTATTTATTTTTTTAAATACTGGTGTCGGAAAAGGTTAATACACCTTTAATCTAGGCTGATGGTAATGTATAAATATACTATTGTTAAATCAAGTTAATTCATAATTAAGTAGTTTTAAATTACCTTGAAATCTTAAAACTGTATATGTAGAAATGAACATTTACCAAACTTAATAAACTCTGTAGAAGCACTGTTCAGGGCCAGAACATGATACCCAACACATAAACTAATGTTAACAAACATAACCTTATTGTTAAGTGACGTCAACTAACGGAATTCACTAAACAGTTGCGGCGCATTTGTTTTCTTCGCAATTTACATTGCACCATTATCGCAATTCTTTGAACAGGAATATGATTTTCATTTAAAGGAGACCATATTATTCCATTTATATGTACGGCTGCATCAATTTTACCCAGGTGGAAATTGCCATCAGCACTAATCATTTATGGGCATGTTTGACTGATCTTTAGCAAATCTGGATCTAAACCAGCATGTACTGTAGCTCATGCAAAAAACAGAGCTTTTAGTGGGTGCAATTCATTCTTAGAGAATCTGCGTTTAAGCAATATTTGAGACAAAATAAAAAGTTCTGTCATTATTAATCAGCATATTATTAATCGGCATTATGTCTTCTAAAACCGACATAACTTACTTTCTTGCATAAACAGAAAAGGTGTTATTTAGAAAAAAATCCATACAATGAAAGTAAATGGCTACCACTGCTGTCAGTCAACAATTTCAGTAAATAACTTTTATCTGTTCTTTACACAAAGCTACTGTATTTTTTTCAGAGGACACTGAATATAGTCAAAGTAGTCATAAGTAATACAAAGGTATGTCATGAAACTCGCGCAGGTCGATAGGTTCTAACTCAATCTGATATAATTACATCATCATTCACATGGCGCAGGTGATTGGTTTACTTTTGCATCAGCAGCCAATGAGATTCCTTCTCAACATTCAAATATTTGGCCAGTGCTTGCTGTAGCAGTTGTAGCACGCTTCACAAACCCTCCACCTTCCCCAGCTCCACCTGTATAGACCTGCTATGGGTAACTTCATGTATGTTATACATGGGGGTTATTTCATCCATGTTAAATATACAGCAGCAGTATTTCCTACATGCTCACAGCAGCATGTCTGTGGATATATTGGCAGTAGCACATCTCAGTACTTGCTCTGCCGCAGCAGCATCTATTCCGCACATTAACACTGTCATGCATATTACCATCCTAAACTCTCAGAGAGTTGTCATGACAGAACTATTTTTTTTCTTCTTCTTTTTGGAGCTTGACAGCCCATGATCCCCATTCACTTTTATTGTGTAGAAGACAGAAGCACAGATATTCTGCTGAATTCCCCACTTTGTCAGTCATTTGGGCTTGAAATAATAGGAAGTTATAAATATATAAATAATAACAGAATGTTAATTTGTGGTTGGACTATTCCTTTAAAAAATTTACTAAAACAAAGAGAAAATGTATTATTGTGCAAGTAAGATACATTACAGTATATATTACCTCTCCTCTGGCACACCGGTGAGCTGTGCAGTCCTGATGGCACTGGTCCCTCCCCCATTGGTAATAAGTTTAATCTGCTCCCTCTCCTCACGCTTCCTGTGGAGGTCAAAGTTTGCACTACGCCGCTGGCTCTTCCACCTGTTCAGATCCTGCAATGACAGAGGAGAAATGGAGTGATAAATGAAGAAACGCCAGAAAAAAGAAAAAAAAAAACACTGTCTGACAGTAACATCAGTGTGATGTGTGAATGACCTTTAAAAAAAATTAAAAATCTCCAAGGCCAGTACAAAACAAAACATTTCTGTTATTATTTGGCTCACTGAGGACCCCCACAGTGCCAACTCCGAAATAGCAACATCTAGGAGAAATGTTGCCAGAATCGGATGTCCTGAGAAATTAAATTTTCATAATTTTCCTGCGACAACCCTAGGCTCCAAAAACAGCCAAAATAAATACTTTTACTCATTTACTCACCAACCGGTTTCACTGACTTTCTTCTGTGGAACATAGAAGATATTTTGAGAAATATACTAACAATATACAATATATTGTTTTGTTTTTTTGTCCAAACAGTTGTTTGGTTACCAATATTCTTTAAAAGATCTTCTTTTGTGTTCCACAAAGGAAAGAAATACAAACAGGTTTGAAACAACATGAGGGTAAGTAAATGTGACAATTGCCTTTTTTGGGGTGAACCATCCCTTTTTAATCAACACTTTTTTCATTATTATAATCTGTGTGATAAGCAGTTCCACCACCATGATGTGAAAAGTGCTATGCAAATAAGCATCACTTACTTCGTGCCACTTGGCTTCACTTTCCTTTATTCTGTCCCGGATGCTTTGTAACTGTTCCCGCTGAACCCTCTGTATGGCTGAGGGTTCAAGGGTCACCTCTCCAACAGACCTCAGGTGAACATGGCGTGACCCCAGCGGGTCAAAGCTGGAGCAGTTGTTCGATTCCTGTGGAATGGGCTCCAGTGTGATGTCACCCATAGATTTGCTTCTGTTGAGCGGAGATGGACATGCTTATTTAAATGATAATCTCCATTCAAAAATCAGAAGTTTAATTGTGTTACACTGACATCTAGAGGTTAAGACCTGAACTGTACCCTGTCCCTGTAAAAGCTGTTATAAAGACATTAGCATCAAGTAAATAGAGAGATAAACCAGCAGAAACTCCACACAATGATGGAAAAATAATAGTATAATATTACAATATAACAAGTGTATGCATTACAGTTTATGCCGTAAAACAACGATTTTTGCAGGAGACACAACATGCAAGGCACTGCTATATAGCATGTAGCACGTTGTAAAATATTGTGTGATGGTTGATTTTATAATTTACTTGAGGGACAAATGCTTAAAAATGCACACATTCATATAGAAGCAGCCCACGTAATGAAGCCACAAATGCAAAAGGAATCAGGCATTTGCTATTGCAAGATGACACCGAAGCAACGTCAAAAATTGCTGAACTCACCCTGTGTACCGAGAGTGTCTCATGGGAAATCTGGGAAACCATGAAAATTTTACAATCAAATATTATCTTTATAGTAAATGAATAGAATTTTTGTTTCTGCCCATGGATGATCACTTAAAAAGAAGTGCACACAAATAATATTCATATATTATTAAAAAAAAATTATAATAAATGAATTTACCCACACTCATGATTTTCAAAACCTGCATGACTAGCATGACACACACACAAAAGGAGGATGAGCCATTTTTGAAGAAAGCAAATAAGAGTCTAGAGATAAGCTGCTAATGATGATAATAATAATAATAATAATAATAATAACTAAAATAAAAATAATAAATAAATAAATATAAATTATATACACAGATGATGCAACTGAGCTGATATTTTTATTGGCCAAAAAAAAATAAAGTTATTTTGACATTCCAGTACAAGTTGTTTGACCTCAGACTTTGACATATCAGAGAGACACAAACATTCCACTGTGTGAACAACAGCTGTCATGTGCACAGAATTTATTACATCATCATGACAACTGTGAAGCAAAACTATTTAAATCATCTTTAACACCATCAGCTCAACTAACTCCAAAGAGATATTTCATTATGGAGATTTTTTGCTTAAAGCCTACTGTAAAACTATCGTGAAACAAATGTTCTAGATTTAATTTTGCTTGGATCTTATAGAAATCACTGCGCAAATGCAGTCTTGGGGGCTGTTCTCACAGTTATTCTATGTAAATGTGCTACATGGACTTTTTTCAGTCTTGTACCATTAAAGCTGCGAGTTTAAGTTCAGCTTTCCAAACCAGCACTTTATCTGTGCTACAGTGGATATGCTCAGCCCGAGCTGTGTATGATTTAAAAATAGGCCTAAGTCATCTCACACCTATAAATAAATGAGGCCGGGGAAAGGAAACACTGAAATTAGGCTCAGAGTTTAGTTGCATGTTACCAGATCAAGAATTTGTTACAATCTCAAGATGGCCACAACTGCTACATTAGGCTTAAATTAAGCTCCATTAAAAAAGAAGCAAAATTTTGGTGCAAACATACATAGTATCTGCTGTATAAATTGCTTGTACCCGCTAAAAAATTAATGTTTCAGCAAATGAAGCAAAGCTAAAAGATTATGGTGATCATTTACTATTTTACACATTTTCATATAAACATTCTGCACATCTGCCTTTAATTAGAATACAATATCCTTCTCCAAATATATATATGGTGTGAGTTAATTATCCAATGCACTACTACACAAGAAAATAAAAAAGTAAGAATGTCTCAAAAGGTGTGGAATCATTTGGAATCAGGTGAAAAGTTTGAAGCAGGTGCAGCAAGCCAAGGAGTGATGTCAAAATCAGAGTCGTCCTCGGAGGAACCAGACATCTTTCGGCTAGAGGAAGGAGAGACAGAAGGAAGCAATAGCAGAGGAAAAGGGAAAAGACAAGATTTTAAATAGATGAAAAAGAAAGACCAAGTACACGGAGTCACATAAGTATGTAGCACTACTGATGATTAATATACCTATCTTTGTAACCTTTCTTTGTTATGTGGCGAGTTTTGGAAAAAACAAACAAATCAATAATATTAATTAATCATTTATTTTATTATTATTTGATAAACCTGATCCAAAACAGTCAGGAATACACTTCATAATGCAAATTCCTGTTGTGTTTTTTTTTTACACAGGGGTTGCAATTTTGATTCAGTGGCTCTATGTGGGTTGAAGAATATGGACATTTTGAAGAAAAAAATCATTTGGAAAACAAGCATAGGAGAAGTTCTGTGACCGCAATTATGATATTTTATAGATTTCATTTCATTTCATTTCATTTCTATGATATGTTTTATTGGGAACTGGGGAGGAATGGGACTATTTACAAGATTTCCAACTGGCTCTATGACACAAACCTGAAGCCCTGCATCTTCTTATACCATGGCCTGCGCTGGGACCCTATCCTGATCTTTTTCACATGTAGATCTTCCTCAGGTGTCCAATATTTGGGCAGGAACTTGTCTGAATCGGCATTGACGGAGGTCTGATGCTCCGAGACGAGCACACGACGGGCGTAAAGGTCATCCAACACAGGATCGGCATATCCTCGGTCCTCATCAGAGTCACTCGTGCCATTGTTTAGGGCTCGCTGAAGAAACTCTTCCTCCAAAGTGGCTAATTCAAAGTCTGTCTGTCCATTTTCAGAGGGAATGGATAACACTCTGCTTCCCAAGACAGAGCCATCCGTATGAGAAGAGTGCAAAAATATCTCCAAGAAGCATATGCATGAACATGCATGCAAAACTGTTTTTAGTGCTAGTTAGTGGAATGCACAGCCACAAGTAGTTCTAGTAATGAGATGAATGCATAGCAAATTAGTGAAGACCCACCAAGTGCCAACATGAATCTTGAAATCGAAGGATCACACCAAGCAACAACTCGTTCAAATGTGCTCCACTAGAGTAGAACACCCGTTTGGGAAAAACTAAGCACATCTTCTAAATTAATAAGCTTGTTTAGTTACAAATAAACAGATGAACAAAAAGCAGTTAGGACCAGTTGGATGTACATAAGCGCAAGTATTAGGGCACCACGGTCTATATTTGAAACACTCTCTAAACTCTGACCTCTGGTTTGATCTCTGGGGTGGCACTACGGCCAGCCGTGAGGCATCTGACAAGGTCAGCCATGACTTCCTAGCACTTGGGGTCACCATAGAGGCCACCTTGGGGCTTAGAGGCTTTGAAGGGATCGCAAAGTTCACAGGGGCCACGGAGGTTACAGAGCGGAATCTGCGACTCGCTAGGTCGTCCTGCACAAGGTCTGGTTCAGGGCGATCCGCGTCAGAGTCACTGTCACTCTGGTAACTTCTTGCCCATTGGAGGAAGGCAGAAGCAGGAGGGAGGTCACGGTATAAGCCCCTCCCACTTTCACTACAGTCAAAAGATGGTGGACAGACTAAGAAAACCACCTCCAATTACACGCACAATATACATGCTATAGCCAACCCGGTTACATAATAGTCAACAATAAACTGAAGACCATATTAATATTAATAATCTATATTGTTTTTCAATTATAACAGCAGACCTGCATGATCTAAAAACTCAAGCAGTATATACAGAATACATGTTTAATGGAATGAAATGAAAGGGATCTTTTAAAGGGGTCATATAATGAGATTAAAAATTTTCCTTTCTCTTTTGAATGTTACAAGCTCTTGGTGCATAAAGAAGATCTGTAAAGTTGCAAAGACTAAAGTCTCAAATCCAAAGAGATATTCTTTATAAAAGTTAAGAGTAAACCACGCCTACCTAAAACAGCTCGTTCTAACACGCCCCCACATACCTACGTCAATATGTGGGAAGATTTGCATAACGCCGCCCAAATGTTCACGCAAAGAAAGAAGGCGTAACTTTTATTCTCGCTGTAGTAGTGTTGTTGTCGCCATGTCGTGAAGACGCTGTGTGTTTCGTTGTGGAAGCGAAACTACTTTGTTTGGCCTTCCAAAAGAGGACGATATCCGCTTCGTCATGCCTAGAGCTGAATTGATCCGTGCTGGTCGTGGAGGAAATACATCAACTTCACGCTGTGGATCACCGGATCGGCTTTCACCGTGGACGAAGCGGAGTCCAGCCCAGGGTCGTCACATGTGGTTGCCGTAAGCCGTTCTCAAGCCCACCTGTCCACCGCTCACTCTAGCCGCCGGCCTCCGCTCACTCAAGCCCACTGTGTTTCATTGTGAAAGCGAAACTACTTTGTTTGGCCTTCCAAAAGAGGATACTACAAGAAATCAGTGGTTAAGTTGTATTTACAAAACTGTTCTAGAACAGTTCAACCCAAATATTCAGATGTGTGCAGCACATTTTATGGAGGACCGTTTCCTGATCCTGGGAGAGTAGACTACAATGCCGGCTGTTCTGACTCACAGACTGCAAGTAATGTTACGTTTTCATATTTAAAGGATTTGCCACTGATGATTCAAACGCGAGTTTTGAGCAGTGTAGAGTAGCGCTTGTTTGTCATTTCTCCGATCACAAATGCAGAAATGGTTTTATGTTTACGCGGCGCGATGCAACGCTTAAAATTACAGTACAAGTCATTATAATCCGTAATTATGTCCCCACTGGATGCAACAAATGCCTCGTTTATAATGGGTTTTAATGTTTTTGTCTCATCGCTCCGGCCGGACAGGGCATCACAGTATGGTAAGGGGCGTAACATTTCCGTCACACGCTTGAGGTATTCGGCCAATCACAAAGCACTGGATAGCTGGCCAATCAGAGCACACCTCGCTTTTCAGACCGATGAGCTTTGTAAAAATCGACGCTTTCAGAAAGGCAGGGCATAGAGGAGAAACAATAAATGTACAGTATGTGGAAAATAATGTGTTTTTTAACCTTAAACCGCATAAACACATTACACCAAATACACAAAATAATGATGTTCTTTTTAACAACATGGCTGGACAATATATTGTAAAAAAATAAATAGATTCAAATATAAATAAAGTAAAAATAAGTTCAAATATATTAAACTCTTAATGATATCTAACGTTCTGATACAAATACAAATAATGTATATTAAATGTTTAATGCAAAAAAAATAAAATAAAAAAAGTTATATATTTTAAAATAATCTTACATTTTTTAAATTGTTTAAAATTGTTTAAGTTAGTTTTCATGTTCACAGAAGTCTTCACATTACATTTTATATAGGTAAATGTTTTTCAGTGTGTAAAGAGTTTCTGTATAAAAAATGTGTATAATATTTAGTAAAATACAATATAATAAATTACAATAAAACACAAGACACTTAAGATTCTTTACAGCCTTTTTTGGAAATTTTAATAAGTGAATTTAAAACATTTTAAACTTAAAAACCCATTGACACCCTACTGTATATCTGTTAGAAGCACAGCAAAAGTTGTCATCCAATGTTTTTATGCAGGGTCAGTTTCTGAAGCAAAGCGAGCCAGAAGAGAGAGTATCATACCTAGTGAGGTCGCCTGCATAACTTCTGTCTCCCTGCTGGTATTCCTGCCTTTTCTTCCTCAGGGCAGATGGGACATGCACTCTTTCTCTGATGGGGGCATCACTTTTACTGCCTTCTGCCATCCTGAAGCAATGTTCTGCTTCTGCGTCACTACCGCAACCTGGGAGAACACAAGAGGATAAAAGAAAAATGATGAACAAACAAGATCGACAGTCAAGCGAGATGTCAAACAAACCTCACATATTTGTGCGCATATTATGTGAAGAGGTCTAGACTAGAGCAGTTACGTGTTAAGTGTTCTTTTATTACTTGCGGTTTACTGGAATCATTTCTTAGAAAGTTATTTGAGAAACCAGGATATTCTTGCAGGCTACATGATGCCACTGTCTTATTTTTATCTGTGTGTATAGTTCATATCTTTTAAACAGCACATTATTTTGCTTTGGCATTAACATTTCAGTATCATGACAACCCTAGAGCACCCCACAGTCTTCCATCCTTCAATTGGCAGCAGCTCTATGCATTACAGAATGGGTGTGGAGCGATCAAGAATGTCACACTTACGTGAATAGATGGGACGAAGGGACAAGGTCTAGGTAGCGAACTTTCATTACCAAGTGTTTGAGAGATGCAATAACGAAGTCACAAAGTAAACAAGACATTGTGATTTTGGCGATAACACATGAGGATATTAAAGCAACAGTATGGACCATCATGTCCTGAAGTAAATGTTTGATGATTTTGCTCATTTGAGGTAAAGAAATAATTGGTACACTTAGATGCAACCTAATAATCGGTTAATAATCTGATCAATGGCTCAATGGGACTGAAAAGCATTCATTTAAACACCTCAGTTGATCCAAATGAGCTTGATTGGAATGCAATTTCAATCTGATTAAAAGGGGTGGTGTAGATCTTTATTTGTTAAAAATTAAAATAGCCATGTAAACCTACTGCAAAACCACTTTCTCAACTGGATTCAAAAATACCTTGTGCACATGCACAGGGTCATGACATGTATGTTTATCATATGTATGATCTGTTTAATGGTCTTGACAGAAGTCTCTTGTATATGTAGTCTTATAAGACTATTTATTTGATCAAAAACATAGCAAAAATATTAACATTGTGAAATATTATTACAATTTAAAATATCACATGACCCTTTAGAAATCATTCTAATATGCTGACTTGATGCTCAACATGTTTTTGTTTTTTTCAGGATTCTTTGATGAATAGAACATTTAAAAAACAGCATTTTTTCATAAATTTTTGTAACAAATGTAAATGTCTTTACTGTAAAATTTAATCCATTTAATGCATCCATGCTGAATAAAATTACACTTCTAAAAATAAAAATAAAACTTCCCGACCTAAAACTTCTGATGGGGTGTTAATAAACAGTACTTTCAAAATCTGAAATGTGATTGGATTCAGACAGATTGATGAAAATCAGTGCATGTTAGCACACCCATTGTCCACTGCAAAGTTCCCAGAGTGATGGCCAAATCAAAAAGAGCACACAAGTACAGTAAAAAGGGTATTACACAATTAATAACACCAACAGACACACACATCCAGTCTTACCTTCACTGCCGGCTCTAAGTGTGCAGTCTGAAGCCACACTGAGTGTGCGAGACTCCACTGAGTCCAGGCTCTCGACTGAGTCCTCCCTTCTGTAGCCCGACTGCTTCAGACTGAACAGATCTTCCCTGTCAGAAAACCAGCCCTCTGCGTACCCACTGTCCCTCACACTTGACTTCGACTGCACAGACTCCTCCAGAGCCTGGAAGAAAGTGAATAAAGAGCCAAAACTTCAGAGAGGGTTGAAAAGTGAGTTTTCAACTTTTACAGTGGTTTTTCATTTTACTGAATGAAGAAATTACCTACATACGGAGTAAAATGTCAGCCAGTTCATTGATAATTACTATGCGGGGACCGACAACACTGACTTGTGCTTGACTGAATCATTTTAACAGTAGCCAAAACTAATGGGAGGTTCTGGACCTGCATGATGTCCTTTGTAAAACACCAAATCACACGAGACTCAATTGTAACATCCTCCTATTTGAGTAATGTAATGATTCTGACAAGCGAGTGGCTTGTTTGTCTTATGGATCTATTGCAATGCATAAACACTTAATAGAAATTAAATTGTAAAAACTTGAGAAGATATTTTAAGCTATAGACATCAAACTTTTTTTAATTTTTTATTATGAATTTGTATCATTTACGCAACAAATCTCAGACTTACACCCTTGTTTATTTTATAAATATTTACAATAATAATAATACTACTGTTAAAAAAAATCACTTAAGGTATAAAGCTATAAACACATCAAACTGACATTTCATAATTTGCACAACTCTAAGATCCACATCTTATAAATATTTGATATAATAATAATAATAACAATAATAATAATAATATTTAAATATTTAAAAAATGTTAAAGGTATTTTATGCTATAAACACAACAGATTTTATTGTTTGTGCAACAACTCTCAGACATGTTCATCTTTATTTTATAAATACTTAATATAATAATACTAGTCATGTTTATTTTTATTATTAAATATTAAAATTATTTAAAAGTAAATTCATTACTTTTAAGGTATTTTACACTATAAACAAAAAAAACTGACATTTTCTACATGACTTTTGTGGAAAAACACTGATAATTACATCTTTCTTTATTTTATATAATGATTTTGAAAATTAAGAAAAAAACTAATAAAATTAAAAACAAAAGAAAAACAATGTAAAAGTTTAATTTTATTAAAAGGTATTTTAGGCTATAAACACATCAACTTACATTGCACTTCCTTGAATAAAAAGGAAATAAAATAAAATAAAAATCACATCAAAAGTAAATACCTTCGATAATGCTGTGCCCAGCAAACCTTCAAAGTCTTTTAGATTCAGCTGTGGTCCAGTGTAAAACGGATCAGACTGGGCCTTCCTCCCCAACCAGTATATAGTGATCAAAACCTGTATGTAATAACAGCATGATGGAAAGAGAGAGAGAGAGAAAAAATACTTTAAACAAATGACTAAATATAATTTAAAACAAAGATGAAAAGAAACTTGAATCTGTAATTGTCTTTTTCCTAATTAACATGTAAAGATTCATTTATAATTTCAATATTTAAATAACAACAAACAAGTTTTAACATGAGATGACACAAAAGCCTCTGAGAATTCAGTGTTGTGCGTGGCATGAATGGCTTCTGTGTCCCAGTTACATTCCTGTTCTCATTTAGAAAACTATGACTGTTCTCTCTCTCTCACACACACACACACACACACACACACCAGGGCTTTGTGGTGCCTGTTGGATCTCTAAGATGAATTATTCTAATGAGGAATCAAATATTAGCAAATCAACATATTACCAATAAAACAAAGATGCATGGCAGATGGGTCAATGCAGATGCTGCGGTTCCAGTTCAAATTCCTTTTACAAGTTCAAACAACTTGTTAGAAATAATGCCATCATCAGTACCACTTATCTTTTTCCCCAAAATATGACTTACTCTGAAACAATCATGAGTGCACTGGAGAACAATCGGAGACTTGTGAGCATATAAGTGAGCTATTTGAGAACCATAAGGAGGTGTAAAACTAAAACGCATTTCTAAATTAAACAATTGTTCATATTTCAAAATGCTGGTCTTGAATTGAGTCATTAATCCATATAGTGCATGCAAAGCAGTGCTTTAAGTGGCTTTAAATGGCACCCTAATAACACCTTCAGCAGAAGAGCGCAATGAGATAAAATGACAAATCAACTTGTTTGGTATGCAAACTAAAGAGTCAAAGGCCAAATTGAGTTCACATTAAAGACAAGCCATGCACCTTCTGGTACATGCACCTTTCTGCACTCGCTTGATGGACCATTTAGTTCAAAAGTTATTTGTTAGCAATTAAGAACAAGCTTTTAATAGCAGAAAAACTTACATTTTTCAGTCTCCTGCTTGTCTCTTCAAGTCTAAGCAGAAGGAGAGAAGGATGTTAAATGTGATGAACATTCACTGTCAGACACTCCGATCAGTTCCAGCTCACACTAACAGTACCAGCAACTAAATCCACCCCATACCCTCCAATAAAATTGTCATTTCTATAAATGGACCTCAACTACATACCACATAAGCCTTACAGTAAGTCACTAATCATGTACACTGATTTGTATTTACAATAAGCATAATATATAAAACTTGCAGTGCTTATTTAACAAAGGCAATCAGCAAGTGATCAAAAGAAACACTTAACTATCTGACAGAGGAACATACTTGTTCCCACAGCGTGCGGACGCCGGACATGTGAGCCATCCATCTGTCACCATGAACTAGCAAATATGGTTTTACAAAGGAATTCAGCTATTTAAACACCAGATGCACATTACACAAAAACGTCATGCTACCTTAAAAATAAGTCAGACAGGCTATAAGAAAACAGAACTTGAGCTGCGGTTCTGAGGTTATTACAGTAAGTGAAAGTGTGTATGTTATTTCATTGAGCCCTAAACCAACATGACCGCGAGAAAGTATGCAAGTTAAAAACAGCAGTCAGATCCACTATAGCATCACCATAGCATTTGGTTTGAAGGGATAGTCATTTGGAGCTAAATTTAGAGGTCACTGTGCCCCCCTTCCACCCTCTCGCGCCCCTCGTTCCTCTACAAGGCCAATGGTAGGGACTTTAAGCTCTCAGCGGGATGGACAACATGATTTATTGTTCAGGGTTGAGTCAGGACCTGGAGAATGAGGCTGTCTGATGAAATTCACAGAGCAAGAGTCGGGACTGAAATTAGTTATTGGAAATACTTCATGGAAATTCCATATGGTTTTGAAATACCTTTTTGTATTGATAAGGAGAGTAGAGCGGTGGTACTCTAACAGAACGTCGGAGCCTACAATAACAAATTATTATTAATATATTAAAATAATCTAACTGAAACCATATTTCTTCCATATGGGGGGGGGAGCACATATTATTGAACAACAGGGGGTCTTCAAGTCAAAATGGTTGAGAACCACTGTAATAGAGAGAGGACAAGAAACAAGTTAAAAGAAATGGAAAACAGAATATTACACAAGCCAAACTAAAACTCATAATGTCCACGTGAGCACCGTAGCTCAACTTCTAACCACAAAGCCATACTTAAGACAACTAATGCATGTATTAAACAATCTATTTCTTCTAAATATCTACACAATGTTATTCCAAAAGAAAACGTTTGTCTTCGTAATCTTTTCAACTCATCCCGCTTCTAAAACAACTTGGATTTTAGGATGACATCACCAAGCCCTCTTATTTTTAAACCCCTTTTCTCCAATCACACGTGATATAGATAGATACAGCTTTTACAAATCCATCGAAAGCAAACTGAGCCATGAACGCCATTTCAAGTTGACTAATGTTTAACCCCAAGAGTGGTTTATGCTCAGAATACATCTTCTCTGGCCCTGATCATAATAATGACAGACCATGTGTCAATGCGTCACGACTGACTGCTCTGCCATTTAAATGCCATCAGATTTTATTCAAAATACATTTCCATAAGTCAACTTGATTAAAACATAGGTCTATGTTGGACAGATAATGAGTGACAGGACCCATCCAGCCTTTCATTTGGTATTTAAATGTAATCGGACTGCAAACACTATTCAAATGAACCCTCTTCCTGCAGGCATATAAAAGACTTACTTCTTTATTTATGTTCACATAAACAGCTAAAGCAGTAAAAGAGTTTAAATACAGATAGATAGGTTAGCATCAGATGTTTAAGGCTTATTGAATTACACAAATACAATGCAAACGAGACATTCGAAAGCACAGGCAACAAATCCAACTTTGACAGTTCATAACAGATCAACCATTTACTGCATTGCAGTGCAACAAAGAGGAAAAAAATGGCAATAAGAATTTCTGCTTTCATTTCCATCTGCTCACCTGACAGTCACACGTGTGGACACATCTTGCAGGTCTCCAGGATGGAAGAGCTGTGCCTCATTAAGCCCTAGTTTCTCACAAGCCCTGAGAAACACATTCACGTTGTCCTGAAGAGAGACCAGTTTTGACTATTGCAGCTAGTGTAAATAAAAGGGTAGACATCCTCAATTCTTAACCACCCAGTGAAATAATACAGTTGACAGTAGAGAAGGCAAAGAGCTTGGATGACGAAGCTCCACTGAGAACACCAGCACAAGAGATGGACTAGTTGATCAGAAAAGGGGTGGGAACTGAAGGAGACAGCTGTCAGGCACTATTCCACACATTTTCAGCATTTACTACTGGAATGCTCTGGACTCACATGGGAAAATTTCTTTGCATTTGCACCATGTATATACAAGTTTTCCGGAATCATTTGATAATAAAAGAGGTGTTTCATTAGAGACTAACTGGTTGACTAATTCATAATTCTAAGATAAATCCACATTTAAAATATGCTCACCAAGCCTGCAATGGGAGTGGAGAGTCTGTTCACTCGTTTGATGATGCCCGGCTTCAATGTGTTGATTAGACTGAAAACAGACAAAAAATATATTTTAAGTAAACCTAAAACAAAGTAAAATTTGCAAATCAATACATTGTTGTGCTTAAAGAAATTAAAGAATCATTGAAAAAAAATTACTTACTCGCACAGAAGGACCCCGTCCTCTAAGGCCACTCGAAAGCTTTTACTTCCAAACTGCTTTTTCGTCACTTCCTGTTAAGGAAATAACCAAAACAGATCACATGCACAAACTAGGACTAACAACATACAAACTGCTCTTTTTAAAATTCAGTTTTCAGCTTTGCTACCGCAGGAAATAAATTACATTTACAAAGTATATTAAAACAGAAACCCATTATTTTAAATTGTAATATGTCATATTTTACACTTTTTACTGTATTTTTAATCAAATAAATGCAGCCTTGATGAACAAAAGACTTTTCAAAAATATTACAAGACAATATTACAGGCCTTATGAACAGTGTAAGTGTATAGAATTGGAACATATTATATATAATACTTTATTAACAAAAACATAAAAGCAAATCCTGTCAGCAACACATACAGATTATGTGAATGTCCACAGACAGGAAACCTACAGGCCCTCTCAAAAACATGGCATGCTACTTTCCACACATTTCAGAGCACATTCTGATCTTCAGTCATCATATGCAATAGCACACCACATAATTGATGTTCCTGCCATTAAGCAAGCAAAATCAACAAAAAATTCTGGCTCTTTTCATACTGAATCGGTTTCAGTCAAATGATCATCCATTAAGTCATCCTATCCACACATTATAATTGTGCACATTCAAACAGGACCTCAGATTATGCCACACAGTACACCATGTTTGGAGACTGAGGTGCCCAAGCAAAGAGCACCTGACTGTACCAGTCATGTGGTGGAGTGGGCATTTGGCAAGCAGAATGTGGCAAACAACTCAGGGGTCCATTGTGTTCAGATTGAGATGCAGTGAAGCATCCATGCCTGATGCCTGCCCAATTTTGCATCCTGATCATCAGCTTGTTTGGGCACATGGAATGTAATCCATCAATGGCTGCTTGTGTACGATCCACATCAAAAGAGACATGAGAGAGCCGAGGCAGAATCTAAAAGATCTAACAGCAACTCACAATTGCATTATTTTATCCCAGCTTATACATTTCAAAGCATAGAGAAATTCTACTTTCATAGTTTTGCATTTTTGAATCGCATGCAAAAACACCGCTATTCTAGGTGGCATAGGAGTGACATATGTGTTTGTCACTGAATTGTATCACTGTATTACAAACACAGTACTTTATAATAAGGGCACTACTCTACAAATGTTATTGTCTTGCTATAATGTAATGTATTGCTGCAAACTGCAGGATGACATAATAAAAGCCACTGATGAAAGCAAACAAAGCATTACATCATTATTCAAAACAATCAATAGTTTAATAAGGACGACACATGGCATCTAGGATTCTATGGAGCTGATGGTACTTGGCTACTTTGCAAATGGTTTAAAGCTGATAAAGGAAGACTACCACAAATGGTCCAGGTTATCTAAGACTGCTTTAAAAACATAAGCATTCAAGACAGAAGGGAACATCATGATGAATGTTATCGTGTCTAGTTTCCATTAAACTGGTCCTTCTAAAATAACATTCAAGAAATAAAGCATTTCCTGAGAACTCACACACATCAGTCTATTCATTTATTGCATTCTGAAAAGTGCACGTAATACTAAAGCTGAGCTAATTGGGCTAAAGCTTCAATAATACCTGTCAGGTTACTTAAAGCATTAGATTCTCTGAGCGACAAAGAACAAAGTCTGCCTCAACAGAAGATGAGGGTGAAAAGACCTGGGGGAGGGTTGTCATTACCTCAAGCCATCTCTGTGCCTCCTGGAACGCCAGCTCACAGCTGACTGCAGACTGCTGACGCCACTCCATCACACCTGTGTGCATTTCACAATGAAAGCTCCTTTGAATATAACCCCATTTACAGACCAATTACATTCAAGGACAAGGAAACAAAACTATGACCATATTTAAATAAATATATAAATGTGTTTTCATATTTTGTATTTTATATAAATAATAATAAAATAGATTATGAGCATTTATCAATAGTTATTTCTAATGTTTATTACAACAACAATTGTTTCCGGCCAGTTGCATCATTATTATTGAAAGTTAGGCAACTTCAAGAAAATTTAGTTAAAACAAAATCATTGCAGATCCAGGCTGCTTTCATCAAATTAAGTTATTTTTTTTATATTACTACAGTAATAATAATAATAATTGATATCAATAAAATAATAGCTGAAATTCAGCAGTGATTTTGAGTTTCACTGTTGGAATTAAGCTGTAATTTAAACACGTAAACAAAACAAACATTTCATCAAATTAAGTTATTTTTTTTATATTACTACAGTAATAATAATAATAATAATAATTGATATCAATAAAATAATAGCTGAAATTCAGCAGTGATTTTGAGTTTCACTGTTGGAATTAAGCTGTAATTTAAACACGTAAACAAAACAAACAAAAAAAACAGTAAATATGCATCACAGACAATCAATTGTGGTGAAGATTAGACAGAATGTGTAGAAGAATCACATCTAGCAATTCTGCAATAGTATACAGATCTTTGCTACATTTGAATATACATGTGTAATAAATTAGTAGCATCTAATCTAATCTAACAATCATTTGCGATTTGGGTGACAACAAAAGGACAAAAAACCCACCACCAGAGAAAAGTGACTCTGAACGGGTTCAAATGAGCTTCCATCACCTTTGCAACCCCAAATGCTTAATGTGATGCATAACACTGCGCACCTGTTGCACCCTACAAGCATCTCAAGTGGAATGACTCAAAAACTTACCTGCTAGCCCCTGTTTCAATTGCTTATTGATTTCCTGTAAGTACTCTTAAATTTCAAGGTGTTTCCCTCTAAGTTACCAGTGCGCGTGCCTCCAACACAACTCTTTTAATCTGTTGCAAACATTGCTCTTCGATTTCACACCTTGAAGTCCCTGCAGGCGACTGGATCGTGCAGCTCTCCTTCCACCAAACATGCGTGTTGTAGTGAGCAGGAACAGAAAAGTCCCCGTTCGGTGATGAGGCAGAGGCGGCGAGCGCAGTGTTTGCAGAGGCGAGTGCGTGTAGTGATGATGAGTAGCTTAAATATGCCACGCCCCCTGCTGCTTTAAAGAGCGATGACATGGGCTCGCGTGCTATGGCAGCAATGACCAGCAGATAGCGACAAAGATTCACTTCAACAGTGTTGTCATCTTGTTGAACGAAAGGGCCCAAACTTTTTTTTCACTACATCTTAGCACTTTAACCCTTAACAATGTGGCTAGTTATGCCAGCACAGTCAGGGGAAGTCAGTTTAATTATCATTTTTTGTTTGTTTCAAATCAATGAAATTATTTTATAAAAATGACCGCACACATTCAGCTAACATAAATGTTTTGATAAGCTTTACCATGAAAATGAAATCATAATGAGTATTTTATCATTTCAATTTTTATTTGGATATGACACAGGTGCTGGTTTGATTTTGTGGAAACTAGTCTAGCTGATCTATGACCAGAAAAGAAAGAAAGAAAAACCTTAGCATACATGTTAGGTCTGAATATGGACTATGGTCTGCGCTGCTAAGTGCTTTTAACCTCATAGATGAGTTTTGGGCAGAACACTGATGTATCAGGCTACACCACAATATCATCAGAGATCTGTATAATAATTATTGACAGATCTTATTTGGCCCACCTGCTGTATGTGTTAAAGGAATATTATAATTTTTTTATTGTATTATCATTAATTTACCCATGGATGCAAACTTGTAGGTTTATATATTTCCATAGACAGTAAAAAAAATGTTTCATGAATTTTCACAAATGTCTTTCCCACACAAAAACAGTTCACTGATGCCTGTTAAGCTCCAGAAAGTCCCCCAAAATATATAAATATAATGCATATACGCATTTGATGTGGTTAGGTCAGATGCAATTGCAACAGTTTGTTGCAACAGTAACATGCTTATAACTTACATTGAGAGGTGCTTTCAACAGCTGGAACTAAAACAGGAAGTGCTTCATCCAGCTACAGGAAGTGTTAACCAAAGCTGGAGCAATGTATAAGCCTGTCTGCCCACTGGTTTCCTGTGTGACTAGTCTGCTGTCAGACAACCAACAGTTTATCACACTATTGTTGTCATCTGATGTGATTAAGAAAGCAATAGGTTTCAAAGCATGCTAGCAGCTCATCACAGGATGTTGGTGAAAGGTGTCCTCTACTGTTGATCTATAAGTTTTGCGGTTTCACTTGTGATAATAAAAATAAGTGAAGATATCTGGTTATATGTATATTTGAATGCACTTTTTGTCAAGTAAGTTGGTTGTCTTGTATATAGATTTTCTAATAAGAGAATACAGCATAATATAGCATCTTATGGTGAATGTGTTGCACATCAGATGCTCAGATTGCAGTCTTCTTTTGTTTAAAAGGCCAGATGCATCTATGAAGGTGTAATATGTTCTCTAGCAATAGAGCAAAGATTTCTATATCTCTGTACTTGGGTCAGTCAGAATTTATTTATTGTGTGTGTGTGTGTGTGTGTAATACTTAACCATATTTTGGGGACAAATTTGTACCTAAAAGTGAGCTAATCCTGACAAAATCTCCAAAAACCTCCCTTTGGGGATGTCGTCATTTGTAAAACTGGTATAAAAATAAAGTAAACAAAGTTTTTTTAAAATTGTAAAAATGCAGAAAGTTTCGTGTGAAGGGTAGGTTTAGGTGTAGGGCTATAGAATATACAGTTTGTACAGTATAAAAACCATTACGCTAGATAGCTAAGTAAACATGTGAGTGTGTGTGTGTGTGAGTGTCTGTGTGTGTGTGTGTGTGTGTGTGTGTGTGTGTGTGTGTGTGTGTGTGTGTGTGTGTGTGTGTGTGTGTGTGTGTGTGTGTGTGTGTGTGTAAATAATGTAAAAGTGATTTGAATTTAGGCCAGTTCAAGTTTTTTGAGAGCCCTAGTCTGATTGGCAATGTTCACAGATTCAGGTTGAATAAAAATGGTGCAAAACTGAAGCAAATTAGAGGATCCCTTAGTGGGTTTGATATTCATAAATTGTTCTCCTCATCAGTCCTAACTGGTGTTTTTAAAGTTAGTTCAAACCCAGCCAAGATATCAGAGTTTAAGTAAACATTTTAGAGGTTATATAGAATTTTTCGCAAGCTAAAGTAGATCTAATAATCTTTTGCACATCTTTTGCCATGGACTTCTCTTGAAATGTGTGTTTTTGATTCTAATTCTTGGTTTCTGAAGCCACTGGATGGAATGAGATAAACTAGAAACATACAAAGAAAATTTGTTTACAGTTTGGAGTGGCTATGAGGTTGACCACACAAATTAGAGGTGATATTTCTCTAGCTCTAACTCTTACTGAATATATGCTGCATATACATATGAAAAAAATGTTCCAGAAATAAATAGATATGTGAATGTTGGTTTGGCAATGCATGTTTGCGTGAGAGACATTCTTTCAGTCAACAATGAAGTTTGCTTATAAAACAAACATCTAACCAGAGCCAGTGCTACAATTCACAATGGTTGTGATTAGTCGTTTTTCTGCATCTCTGAGGGATCATTTCTATTGTTTTCAGCTACATAATGGAATGAAACCGTTGTTAATGACATTCATTGTGAAATATCATTCTCTTGCACCAGTATGCATATTAATATTATTAAAAAAAAAAGATTTTTAGATTCCACCCTCTAAAGTGCTTCATAAAGTTGCTATAGAGTGTGTGTGTGTGTGTGTGTGTGTGTGTGTGTGTGTGTGTGTGTGTGTGTGTGTGCGTGTGTGTGCTTGTGTGTGTGTGTGTGTGTGTGTGTGTGTGTGTGTGTGTGTGTGTATGCTTATTTGTCCCTGCCCACTGACTGGTGATCTATTTCACCTGGAGCTGCCCAGCTGTAGCACTGAAACAGTAGTACAGTTCCCTGAACACTGTAGCTTTGTCCTGATCTGGCATTGCCCAGCAGACATGAGAGAATAAGGAGGGATGAAGATAAGGTGGAGAGCCAGATATGTTAGTCCAGCCAAGGGCACATTTCACTCCTGTTAACACACATCTTAAAACACTACTAGCATCCAGACTCACTCCCATTACAAGGTTCAGCAAATATTTGATGACAATGTCAAAACTGTTCTTATAGCAGTTACTTCTGTGGTCTACGTCAGTGGTTTTCAACCAGCTAGGGGGCCTTGGCAAACTTACAAGGGAGCCAGCTCAAGATGACTTAAAATGAATTAAAATTAGACAAATCGAGCATTAAATAAGTCAAAACACTTTGAAGAACCAGGATTCCCAATAAAACACACACACACAAACACACACAAAAACTGGAACAGTCATGTAAATTGTTAAAATATAATGAATGTGGTTATGCCGAGCGCTGGAATATTTTATCGGGTAGAAATTATGTTATACAAAAAATAACTTGCCCTTAATCCATGTCCAGTATATCACAAACAACTGGAAAAGTCATGGGGCCTTTGAATATTGTTTTAGACAATCTTGGAGTCAAAAAGGTTGAGAACCACTGGTCTACATGGTTTCTAGATCATCCCTAGATAGTTTGGTTGATTGGCCTAAATCAAACCTCTCAGGTCCATAAGATTCAGCTAACAATTACTGAACTTTCTTTGAATGTTAGATTTCGGATAGAAAAAAAAATAGCCTACAAATAATTTTTTGTTATTATTGATTAGTTCTCCAAAATAAACAAATGGGCACAATATGCTAACCTTAGGGGAACGTTCTGTGTTTCCTGGAACATATATCCTTTATATCCTATGTAATACTGCAAGGCATTGAAAAAAAGTTCTACATGATTAAAACGATTTATTAGTTTACCCAACATTCTCAGAAAAAAAGGTACAAAAGCTGTCACTGGGGCTTTACCTTTTCAAAAGGCACACCTTTGTATCTAAACAGTCCATATTGGTACCTCAAAGGTACATATAAGTACCTAAAGTGTATTAATACCTAAAAGGTACAAAAGTGTACCTTTTGAAAAGGTACCGCCCCAGTGACAGCTTTTGTATCTTTTTTCTGAGAGTGAATATATTTCTATACTTGTTAGACTTGTCAATAGCTTAGCAGCATGCTAATGCCAAACGCAAACTAATTTTTAAGTCTGACGTCACGCGTCACTTTTTCTGGGTCCAAGTGCTCTATCAGATGCTAAAAGCAAACAACATACGGTGTCAGTATACATTTACTGTGTGCTATTATACTACCAAAAAATCCTGATCCTAACCTTTATCTCCATACCGAATAGCTCAGTTGGCCAGACACTGATTCATCTTTTATGAATCCATAAAATATTGCAGTCTGTTTTTTAAAAGCTTAGCTTATGGTGCGCTATGTATGAATAGTGCTCATAAATGGCTGTTAAGATTCTCACTTGAAATGGAATGGAGCCTTAGACCTGAGCCTATTCGTTGCGTCATGACTTAACAAGTTTCTGTTAATAAAGAGCATTCCAGATCAGTCACTTATGAGGTTCCATGATGGTTAGGATGTTGTCTTCAAAGATTGTGAGTCAGCCAACTAGATTTTGGAACAGAGTTATAATAATGCAAGAACAACTAATTAAAATGTCCTGGCCAAGCAATTCTCAATGTAATAACTTCAAATCTCTAATGAACAACAAAGATGTGATGAGGTCATCTTATGTGTGTGTATGTGTGCTATCATGTCATGCGTTCTCAACAGGACCAAAGAAGGGTGACAGAGTGAGAGGTTGCTATGGTGATGCCTTGTGGTGTCAGAAGGGTGAGAACAAACCGATGTGTCAGATGGAGGAGAGTTCACATATACACCAACTGATCAACTTACAATATCTGTAATAAGAGAGACACATTGGATAACATTTTACATCTCACCCTTGAGTAAATATAACCAGTGAGGCACTTTGATGGGACTCAGAAGAGTATTGAGGCGGTTTTAAGGCAGGCGAGACAGAAGCATTGCAAACTGTGGTGAGGCAGCAGACGGCGGTCTATTTACCATGGCATTATGAGGGCAGTGCCGCAGAGAAAAACTGTGTCAGTGGATTGGTTGTACAACAATAAAGCA